TAAATAAAATATTTTTTAAATATTTTTATTAACATATATAAACAAATACTCTATAATATACCGATAGTATTACATATATTACAATATTTATTATAAATATTATATAAAAGTTGTAATATATAATGAGTTTATTATTGATATGTATAAAAGTAAATCTATAATAATTTATTATGTTTACGCATTTTGTAATGGTGGATCCAGAAGGAAGTGATCAAATTCTACAAGAATAATAAAATCTACGAATATGACATTTTTGTTGCTTTATATACCGTATGAAATTGTATATAATTTATAAATTATTAACCCTTTGCACTCGAGGGGTGCCTCTCAGTCGCCATTTAATTAGATTCTAAAGAAGGATGTTAATTAATATATCAAATTCACAATTACTCAACGATGCTTGTGATATCGAATTAAAATAATTCTACGTCTTAACCATTTGCGCTAAAAAGACGTGCCACGCACGTCGAGATGCTTTTGTTCCAAAATCGCCAGCGACGTGTACACTACGTCGATAGGCATTTACCGCAGAAATAAAAATGACGTGGGCTGCACGTTGGTTAACAACCAGATCGTTCATTTCTCGAGCTACAGTTCCAGAGTGCACAGCGTCGCATAGTGTCATCGATATCTTGGAAATATTTCAGAATCGATACAGTATCTCGCGGCGCCAATGTGACACCTTACGGCGTGTTATACTGTAGCGCACGGCATCTCAATCGTGAGTTCATTGGTAGCGCAAGTAGTTAATTTGCATACGATTTCTTATTTACTATTTTAGAAATATCGTCGACTTTATGGCAGAAAGTCTTCGAATTATTATTTCCCTGTAACGAAAAGATCGCCGAGTGCAAAGGGTCAATGTGCATTTAATTATTTAAGCTGTAATATTACATGGAAATATTAAGATACAAATTACAAGCAAATTTCAATTAAGCAAAACAATGCTACAAAATATATTCAACAAATTTTACACCCTCCAAACGAAGCTTCTAGATTCGTCCCTGACATTGTGTAACCTTAACGAGCAAAGGACCTACAACAAAAATTTTCCAAATTTTTAATCGAGCACTCAAAAGTGTCATAAATATCATTAACGATATTAAATTTCAAATAAATAATTATTTATTATTATTATTATTAAATAAATTCTCACAGCAGAATTTCGCGTTATTTCAAAATTAAATAAAAGAATCACTAAACACAGGGAAATTTAGTTCACGAAGAATGAGAAATAACAAAAATAACGATCGAAAAAATGATATAAAATGGAAATTATTCTCGACTGTACCAGCGTTATACGATTTCAAAGTTTCATGCACGAGACCACTGTTTCGCTTTCTAGGCGTGTTACACCTCGGAATATATTCCACGCAATTAGAACGATTCTTTTTCTCGATTTGGTTCGACTCGGCTAAGTGGAAGCTGGCCTTTAGCCTCCTTTCTTCTCTAACACTTAATACAGTCCATTATCGGTGACAGCTGTGGGTGCATCTATCCATTTATTATCTAGCCAACGGTATCCATCTATTATCTCAAACGGCATGGTCAGCATGGTCGTCCTCGTCTCGAAGTCGCGCAATTAATTTTCTCCGGAATACGTTTCAGTCCAGTGGTTCTTAACCTATAGGGCCGTAACTAATAATTTCTACGAAAGGATACGCATAACATATCTCACACGACGCAGCATAAATTCAGAAAACATCAGTTTTAAATTGTATAAAAATACTATAAAAGTCCCTATAAAAATCGACTTTTTGGGGATTTTTTTCTAGGGGAACCATGATACTTATCGGCACGTAGTCTTTGCACTCAGATTTATTTATACTTGGAGAATATTTACAATTCTTTTTTAACGAAATTAATAGAAATTGTGGAAATTATATAGCCTTGGGTGAATCATGTTTTTAGAAACGGGCTCGAATGGCTGCCATCTTTCGGACCATCTGGTTATCGGAAACGAAAAAACCAAAAGAGCATCTTAATTAGTATAAATACGGCTATAGCACGAAACACGGAGCTAGCGAAATTTTGAAAATTAAAAAAATAGCAGCATTTTGAAGTTTAAATATCGGTTTATAGCACGAAACACGGAGCTAGTGAAATTTTGAAAATTAAAAAAATAGCAGCATTTTGAAGTTTAAATATCGGTTTTCCTCGTGCTTTGCGCGTCTTTTAGGTGACGAAAAAAAATAGAAAAAGCATCAGATTTTGAAATCCATGGTTCACGCGATAAAGGTACATCCGGTGAAGATCTCCTCCAAATTTCGAGTCAATCGGTCAACTAAAACGCGAGATATCCCGTTAGCCAGTTCAAAAAATGTTATGTCGAGAAATATGCGTCTGAAATTTTTCTTAATCGTTGTAAAATGACTGTAAGCCGCACTTTAAATATCTATAACTTTGCTAATTTTACAAATTCGAACAAATCCTTTCACACGAACATTTTCGAAGGCATACACTTTGAGAAAATGTAAAAAAAAATCGATTTTTTTAAGCCGGATTACAATATCTTCTTAATATAGTGGAATCTCTATAGTCTTTAAAATAGCACAGCACACTTGACAATGAAGTATACGTGGCTTAGTAATCAATTTAAAGTGTATTTTAAAGCAGACTGCCACACGATTTATTTTTATGCCGAGAACTTTGCCAACTAGTTTTATTTATTATTCATTATATATAAAGAGAAAATAACGGAGAAAATTGTCCTAAAATTTGAAATTTGATTTACAATTGACGAATCTTGATTATTTTTACAACTGTTTCAATAATTTGTCATACGTATCTGTTCGACGAGTGTAAACACATAACCTCTTAAATCTAATAACTTTGTTAGTTACAAGTTTCCACGCTCGTGAAATCAAAAGTTTCTAAGAAAAGATTAATTTAAATTGAAATTAAGTACAATGTAACATGTAATTAGTATAAATGGAACGAAGCATTGGAAAGTAAAGAATCAGTGAGAAAATAAATTATTACGTTCATAATATCGACTGGCAAGTTAACCTATTTTTCTCGATTGATAGGTTAAGTTTAGTTTGAGTTTACTTTAAAGTAAGTTTTTCTCTTCTTTTATTTCTTATATTCTTTTTAATGTCGTGATTCTCCATTCTATCGAACCGTCATGAATCGTACATCGCAATTAAAAATGGTAAGAAATATAATATTTATATCGAGGATAAGAGTGTATACTTCCTGCTCACGAAAGTTCTGTTTTTAGGTACATGCGTATGTACGAGCTGCTCTCTTTCGTTCAACATTTTTTCTTTTTCTGGATACATTGTACCATATGTTCGTCGTTATAGACAGAATATTTGCTTTCGTCTCGGAATATTCTTAAATCGGCCGAGTGTAGGATCGTAGTGTCAGATGTAAATTAATCGGTCGCGTCGCGGCCATGTTTTCTTTGGCCGAAGAGCTATGCGGCAGAGCAGGAATTTCGTAAATTTCCACGAACATATAGGAGTTTTTTGGTTGCCAAAGCAAACAGTGACCACGTAATATGGTTATTACGTGTATAGTCATCTATGTCTTTTTATAAATTCATCTTTATACTGTCTCTATAGTTTGGTGCAAAGACACGTGCTTCCATCTAGTTTTAATATTTAAATTGTTTTGTCAGAGACTGTATTCTAATCAAGTATAGGCGAGTATATTATCAATCAAGAGTACCTTGCTCCTATAATTTATTCGTAAAATTGGTACATTTCGTAGATAAAATGATCAAATTTAATTAACCTAGTTGATAATTGAATTCTTTAGTTGATAAATTAATATTAGTAATCGTATATTGGAAATGATACATCGATAATAATTAAATTATATATTAATAATATATTGAATAATTATATTGAAAAGATGAAACGATTTTCACAAATTCGTAGCTTGTTTCTATATTCGTATTTCGCGCCTTTTGTCATACCGGAAACTTTTCCTTTGAAAATCGTATTAAGCATTCTTTTGCAATTTTCATTGCGCTATGTTGAAATTTAAATCTGCGAAAGGTAAACTATATTGAATACATATAGTTCAATAATTATTAACTATTATTAACATACAATAATAATTGACTTATAGGCTTTATTACAATCATCGAAAAAAACAAAAAGGAAAAATGTTATTGTTACTGATTATATATATTTTGAAGGAAAACACGAAGAAAATGGAACACTTTCAAGAACAATATTCACAAAAACAAGAATACAGTTTCTCGTGAATAAATCGAGGTTATGTTGTAACAACAATTATTTTATA